TTTTCCAATTTACATGTTTTGAAACTTCTTTATTCTTCGTACGTTCGATCTAAATTGGAAAGTTGTTCTTTAATTTGGTATCCCATCTATTCGGTTCATATAAGCCGTATTGAGCGAATACAAAGAAAGTTTTTGACCTTTCTGCATTTCAAGTGGAAAGGGGAATATCCGGAGAGAGGATGTGATTATTCTGTACTCATGAATACATTTGACTATATGTCGCTAAATAGTAGGAGAGTTATAAGTAGTTTAAATTTTCTTTATGATGTTTTGCACAATGATGTCATAATTATGTGAATATATATTAAGTAAGCTTAACTTTCATGTACCTGTGCGCAATTTGCGTCACCAAATGACATTTTACTGCGAATTAGCTCAAACAAATATCTCGAGAAAATCGCCGGTCACGGGTATGTGTGAGAACTTCAATTCGTTAGGTGAATATTGTGATGTGAATACTTCATCTAGAAATGACTTTAAGCAACGTTATCTGGCCATTTCCCATGGCATGTAATGACCTTTTTGCGGTTAGAGTTATTCTTTTTTTTAATATTTTGGCTTTTTGATCTAGCTGTATTATTAATTTGATTGTGTTTTGTTTATATACTAGGATTATGTGTTGCTCTTGTTTTCTTTTTGAACTATTTCCTGTAGCTGGGTGATTGTACCTGTTGGAAATAAAGATCCATCTATCTATCTATCAAAACCCTCTTGAACAGATTACAGCAATAAAACCAGACTTTACAATTATTTCGCATACCTGGGGTATTTTCGTCTCACATGATTAGACTATAATGACAGTCTCTGGTATGACAAATGACACTTTGCGCAGTCTTATTTTTTCTAGTAAGTGTCTAGATTCGCATATGAATATAAATTAAGAAGAAGACTAGACAAGTTGGAGACATACTTGTATTAAATATTGTTAGATCAGTTGGGTATAAATTGAAAAATGCCTTCGCCTATGGGATGAAATCAATGGCAGCTGTGCATGGAATTAGCCTATGAATCTCGTTTAGTTACGAAGGGAAAATGGGCAGTTCGAAAGTTATTCAAATACCTGGTCCTTTATGTTTTGTTATTTGTCGAGACAATTAATATTCTGCCGGGACTCTTGACAATGAAATGTGTGAAAATTGTGTTCATAATAAGAAGAAATAGATTGATGATATAATGCAATCAAATCCCCGTATGCTAGACCCGTTTTATCTTGAGAAATTTCGAAGTTTATTGAAGTTGGAGCATTGCAACGGACAGCTTTGCAAGTGCAATACAAACTCGCCACATAAACTTATACCAACGGAACGGTTCTGGAATGAGTCCGGGCAGAGAAATAGAGACTTTCCGGACACCAGACAAGCCTCGCTCACAAACTTGATTACAGTTTCATCATCATAATTTAAGCTCATGTGAACCGTAATTATATTTCTCGGTTAAGGTTTGCCTGGCTATTTAGCATTAACGTATCATAAGGATGGCGGGTTGGTCCTAATAGTACAAACCTATTTTTGTTTGTAATGCTACCGTCAAAACAGTGGTTTACAGATCTATTACACTACCGTGGTCATATAACATATTAATCGTAAGGTTTTGTCAAAGTAGGTGCAGCCGTCACTGACATTATTATACTGCAAAAACGCCAACAGATAAATCAACTGAAATGAACGACGTGGATTTAAAGTGCCCAAAGCTTTTCTCTTGAAGCTCTTGTGGCTATGCGGTTGATCGTTGACACTTTAAATAAACGGTGTCAAGCTTCTAATATTATGCCAATTGATAAACATTGAGCAATCATTCATTCATTCAAATTCGTTTGGTTGAGAAGTCATCACATCATGGTATTATGTACAGTTTTTGTTAAACTGCATATTCACATTTCATGGTATCATGTTTGTGGTATCATCATTTTTTCAAATGTATCGCCAGCCTTTCCTTAGATTGCACAATCACCGTTTTATGGTATCATGTTTTGTACTTTCGCCATTTCTTCAAATGTATCGACAGTCTCTCGTTAGATTGCACAATCACCATTTCATAGTATCATGTTTTGTACTTTCGCCATTTCTTGAAATCTACGGACAGTCGCTCGATTGTACAGTCACCATTTCCAGGTATCATGTTTGTGCTTTAACCGTTTCTTCAAATGTATGGACAGTCTTTCGTTAGATTGCATATTAGCCGTTTCACGGTATCATGTTTGTACTTCCACTATCTGTTCAGATGTTTCTAAAGCCTGGAGAGATTCTACTTCCACCATATTTCAAATATACTAAGTGACATATAAATCCGAACACCCAGTTTAAATGGTTTTATTTTAATAAAATTTTGTATAAGTACTTAATGAGTAAATAATAAGTAAATGATAAAAATTTCAAAATGATTGCACTGCTTTAAAGCCCTTTGACCTTTAATAATGTGTGGATGCACCCTGATGTGCTACGCATTCTCCAACGCGCCTAGGCATGCTTCTGATCAGGTGGTCAATGTCCTCCTGTGGTATCTCATTCCAGGCAACCACCAACTCCTCTCAAAGTGCTTCTAGAGTCTGAGGAGGACGTTGCAAATTGAGCAATCTCCTACCCATCATATCCCACACGTGCTCAATTGGGGATAAGTCGGGAGATCTTGGTGGCCATGGTAACAATGTGACATCATTATGTTGAAAGAAGTCTATTGTGACTGTTGCAACATGTGGTCGGGCATTATCTTGTTGGAAAGTTGGATCTGCCAGGGTGTCAAGATAGGGTAAAAGATGGGGTTCTAGAACTTCGTGGATATAACACTGCGCGTTCATGTTACCTCTGATGACGATTAAAGGTGACCTGAAACCATAAGCTATAGCACCCCAAACCATAACTCCAACAGTGTGATGAACATGTATTTCAACAAAAAACTGTGGATTCCTCCTTTCACCACGTCGCCTTCTAACCCTGGCACGACCATCGTGCATGCCTAAACAAAATCGAGACTCGTCACTAAAGACAATACTGTTCCATTCCTGATCCCAGGGGGCCGTTGTCTGCACCACTCAAGGCGATTATGTCGGTGTTCTCGAGTTAAAGGGAGGACCCAGTGTGGCCGGTATGAAAACAAGCCAAAACTTCTCATTCGTCGATAAACACTTCGCATGCCAATAGGTCTTCCGTGTTCTGCAAACCATTCATTTGCAATGGACCTGGTAGTGGAGAAACGGTACCTTAAGGCCAATAATCTTAGGCGGCGATCTTCACGGTCTGTTGTTCTACGGCAGCGTCCAGTGCCCCTTGCTCTTTGCGTACGGCCTTCTCGAGGCCATGCCTGACAACACCTAACCACAGTGTCTACACTTCTTTGCACTCTAACTGCAATTGCCCGAAAAGCAAGTCCAGCTTCCCGAAGTCCCACTATGCGGCCCCTATCAAACTCACTACGTTGACGAAATCGTACAGGTCTCCGTACTCTAGGCATCGTAACCGATCGTAAAGGATGTCAAGAACCAAAATCCGCCAACGTTGATTCTTTACTGCGGCTGAAATATTCATTTTTAGAGCGTTAGTGAATTAAAAAAAAGCAGTATAAAAACCGGAATGTCCAACTGATAAGGCTGAAAATTTTTTCACTTGTTATTTATAGTAAGATAAATACATTCACCAACTTTTATTAAAATAAAACCATTTAAACTGGGTGTTCGGATTTAGATGGCACTTAGTATATGTAGTTTTCAAATAAAGCTATCTTTATTTTTATTCATACTTATGTAGCTGAGCTACTGGAGCTCTTGGCTGATAATTAACTCGGCCCTCCACAACGATTTCGAATTTTAGATGGCTGACCATAGATTTTAATGTACCTTGAAGAACTGTGTCCAGATTTTCTTTAGGAAATGAATATTGCATTTCGCAGTTGAAGATGCTAATCTACATACTTTTTATGAATGTTCTATTCGAGGGTACTTATCAATTATTCGGGCATTGCTTTCCGCATATGAATTATAAGTTAGATTTTAACGTAGAATGATACTATTGACTAAAATTCGTGAGAATGGTATAATCTTGATATTGATAATAAAGCTTAGAAAACTGCAGTTTCTCTTAGTTGGCACAATGTACAAAACATACTGCATATGTTTTCTCCAAAGCATCATGCTATGTTGCCAATTACGCGGTTTATGAATTTTCCGAGATCTGGCTAAATAATAAATTTCACAAGTTTTTCGCATCTCATAGAGCAATATTGTTCTGAGTCCTCTGTCCTTTCTTCTACCTCTACCGTATCTGAAACTGAATCGCACGTGCGAGAGAGAGAGTAACCGAGCTCTTATCATGGTTTGCGAAATTTACATCCTCACTCTTTGTTCACTTTTACAATTTGGAAAGTACCTCCCAGATTTTCATGAAATGTTCAATCAAGGTTACTACTATACCAAGGACGAATATCCTAAAAGGCCACAAAGGTTTACACAAATTATGCTTAATATATGAATTTTGATTGTATTAGCCTGTTTGGCTGATTTGATCTGCTAAGCTTTTGTTTTACATGTTCTTAGCTAACTTTTTTCTCGAAGGCGCAAACCTGTGCCGAACATAATCCTTTACGCGTGGGAAGTCAACCTACTTAACTCCAATAAGTCTTTTCGGCTCTCTTAGAAATTCCCTAGTTGCGCTAATGCTCCGACACGGGATGAGTTACGACATTAAAACTTCGGTTAAGACAGTAAACTTTATGGCTAAATAGATAGCTCGCTTTCCTCTCGTGCAACGTTATAATGTACGGTGTAAGCTCCTCTTCAGATTTACACAGCTGTGGTATTAGGTAAAATGTTCCAGAAATGGACCTTGTAAATTGCAGGAAGTTACGAACAACGGTTCCCGTTATGAAGTTTGCTCTCTGGATAGATGAAGAGATCATTGGTATAGTGTGGTTAGTGCAGTTTCTGGAAATTTATTAGACAAATTGGAATGTCTCTATAGATGAAGTATTTTATTTGGAGAAGATTTAATTGATTTCTAAACAGGTTACAGTTAAGGAATAACTTAGATGACTGTGCTTATATTTCACTGCAGCTGCATGAATTCACAGAAGTCGTTGACACCTCTCAGATGGCCGGGTTCGTCAGGATGGTTTTTAGTGATTTTACGATTAAAGATCTTTTGAAGTTTATGCCACTAAAAGGACAGACTACTGGGCAGGACTTGTTTTCATCTGTTAAAAATATTAGGGGAGACCGGAGCTAGTTGTCACAATTTTCAGTAAATCTTTTTTTTATTCGATCTGAAGCGTTATATGCACATATTTGGTGCATAACTAATATGGTGTATCCTTTGGGAACACTATGTAAAATCGATAAGGGTGTAAAATAATTCACAATATTAAATTAAAATGTCTCAAAATACAGAAACAAATGTGACAACTTGCCCCTTGCTGGGGCTAGATGTCACATTGTTTGGGGTTGGTTGTCACGTGCATTTTAGATCATTAATAATTTATATCATACTTTTAAACATATTTATTATTACAAATAAGACATATGAGAAAAAAGTAGAAGAGTTTTTTTTACAATTAGTCACTATCGTAGTTATGACGTGAAGTTCGCGTTCATCAGTGTACGCAGCATGAGACCAACCATTACACGATGAGCATTTCACCCATTCTTCATTTGACGCGCTGTTAGAAAATGGTTCAAGACAAATCAAGCAAAAACATTTGTCTCCGTCAGTTTCATTATCTGAACATGACTTTTTCTGAATCAAAACGTCCCTTTTCATTGTTTCCCTGTTCCTCTTTTTCTTGTTCGAGCATTTATTTTTCTCTTTCTCTAATTCATCTTTTACTGGAGTGTCAGTGAGTATTGCAGTCCCTCGTTTACGACAGAAAACTCGATTCATTTTTCTTGCCGATGCCTTTGGATAAATACTATATTTCCAACATGCAGCCTTACTAAACTACTACAGCAGGGATCATCAAAACTAGTTGATTAGATGTTTTGCCCTCTCGTACATTATCTATTGCTTCCTGCGTGTTCATATTTATCAGACTTACAGTTTCATCTTCGTTCAAGATGGTTGGATTTGGCCCAACTTGCTTTTCGTTTAAGGTTTACGGGTTTGGTCCAGTTATTGCTTGGTTCAAGATACCCGGATCTGGCCTATCAATGACAGAGCTCGCAAGAAAGTCATCATCCGTGAAAATATCTCTGTTGTAAGGAAACACACCCGACACCCGAAATCCAGACTGTATATTTTTGGGAGTAAATGCGAGGGGGTATGCAATAGAGACCACTGAAGGTATGTCGTATATAGTCATGGTCTTACCGGGATTATTTAAAACCCAAGCATCGCAGGAAGTATTTACATATTTCTTAAAAGGGCGGAAAACGGCGCGGTCAAGAGATTGAAGTTTATGTGAACAGTAAGGGTAAAAAGAGAGCATGACAATGCCATTTGCTTTGGCAAAATTCAGTCAGATGTGATCCATGGTTATCTAGTAAAAGCAGGCACGGTCTTTCCACAGTACTTTTATAATGATAATAATAATAATAATAATTAATAATAATAATAAATTGGCTTTATTTCGTACCTAAGTAAAAGTACAAAAAAGGCGAAGTGTCGCTAAGATTAGCGTTTTTCAACTTAACCTTACGAAGGTCAAAAAATCTAAGAAACTCCAAGAAATGTGACTCTTTCATGCAACATGATGGATTTGCTGAACCTTGTGAGCCAGGAGAAGCCGAATTTTTTTTTTTGGCCTTAGGAGCAGGCCATGCAGCCAGAAACTAGATTTTTATATTTACATTTCTAATTATGGACAAACACACGGCGTCACAACATCCATGGCGAAGGCGAGATTCGAACTCGCGACCCGGCCGGCCGGCTGATCAGTAGCACGACACTCTGATCCACGCGGCCAACCGAGGTCCCAGAAGCCGAATTTAAAAAATGTGGTTTGAAACGTATCCGTGGAAAAATGAAAAAAGTGGGTACGGAATTTCCAATAGTTGATGCTGCACTTGCTAAAGTAACAAGAGTTCCTCTTCCTGATGAAACTATCGAACCAACCTCTTTGAATCCTCTTCTGGCAACAATGCGGTCGGGTCTTAGGACAGTTGTAATCCCAGGTTAATCATGTTCCAGATTTCGTGAGGCTCAAATTTATATTTTTCCATAACTGAAGGTAAATTATCAAAAAATGCGTTGACGTTCGTTTTATTGAAACTACTTTCTGCTGCTGCTGTTGCTAAACCAGTTGCTTCCGAGTTGCTAATAGACAGTACAGGGTGACGTTTCAGAAACGCACTAAACCAGTCAGGACCAGCTATTTTATGGAGATTCCAATTTTCCGGCATTTTCAAGGAAATAGCATTAGCAAATTCATATGCCAGTCCACGTACTTCCTTGGGTGATAATCCAAAATAAATATCAGATGCTTTGCGTACATATTCCACTAGATGATTTTCAAGTTCAGGCTCAAATACTAAATGATTTTTAATGTAGCCAACTGAAATTGACGGCGCAACAACTCGATCATCAAGTAATTCAGACTCTGGAATTTTCTTACAGTATCTTGCTAAAGTACGGTAATTTACATTGAAGTCAGCTGCCACTTTTCTTATTGAGGATCCAAATCTCACTAACCTAGCAGCTCTTAAAAGTACGTCAGGCGGCGCTTTGCCCTTCTCAGTCTTCCTTTTGAAATGTCGAACCATGCTTATGTAACCTGAAAATATTATAAAAATACATTGTATACATATACCTACGAAGAATGATGTGCAAAGCTAGTCCTCTAGTGTGGGGGCTGGCTGTCACATGTGACAACAGCCTCCCGCTAATTTGAGACAACCTGCCCCACTAGATAATTAATTTTTAAGGTTAGATAGCGTCACTAAATTAACAAATTCAAAGTCAATACTTACGTTAAGTCGTATTCGGATTATTGAAGAGCAAAATAAATTCAATAGTTCTTTTTATTATCAAATGTAGTCTTGAAAACACAAATTATGTGGCAAACGAAAAATTTACTCAGGTTAGGCGATTTGTTTATTTTTGTGCGTGCGACCTTAATCTACCAACGACAACTTCCGTACTGAATACAAGTGTTCTGCGCGGACGCGGAAACGGTGTGTAGCGCGCCAGGCAACTACATCTTGCGGAGCTGCTGAGATTTAACGATTGTGACAACCAACCCATGTGACAAACCCCCCCGTCTCCCCTATTTCTTCTGAGAAAATTCCGAAAATCGAAAATGGTAGGCTTGACAAACCGATGGCTCTCCAGCTATGGTGGGTGGTGATGAGGGTCTCGTGGGGTTATATCGTAAAGAAGAAAGTGTTTTGCAATTTCTCTGTTACCACTGCATTATCCATCAGCAAGCATTATGTGGACCTTTTCTGGAACTAAACAACGTTTTGAAATTGGTATTAACAACTGTGAACAAAATTAGAGCTCAGGCGTTACAAAGATTATTCAAAACCCGGCCGACGAAATTGACTGTCAATACGGGGAACTACTTCTTCACTCTGAAGTCCGATGGTTAAGTAGGGGATGAGTGCTGAAACGTTTTAATGATATTATATTTGCCATAGTTCAATTTTTCAAACAACTTGACGAACCAATTCCAGAACTGAAAAATTCAATCTGGCTTACAGATTTTGGTTTTCTTGTGGATATTACCGGAAAATTAAATGAACTTAATTTTCAGCTTCAGGGAAGAGACAAAGAATTAGTAGAAATGATTTCAGGTATAAAAGTGTTTATCAAAAAGCTTGAGTTTTTGTTCTTTCAGAAAAGATATCTCAAAGTCCATTAGAACCATATGACAGTAAATATCATTTAAAAATAGTCTCTAACTTGAAGGATAACTTCAAAAATCGTTTAAAGGATTTCAACGAAATTGCTATAGTAGCGCAATTTGTTGTTTCACTCTTCATGGAAATTGATATCCAACTTCTGTTACGCAGCATTTTAGCGAAGAAATCGCCTTTCAGAATGAGTTAGCTTTGAAATCATCAGTCTCAAATACAAAATGTATATGGCATTCAGTAAGTAAAGATAAATATTCAGTTCTTTGTCGTGTTGCCTTAAAAGTGAAAGCGTTATTTAGTTCAACCTATTTGTGTGAGTCTTCTTTTTCAAATATGAAAACGTTAAACAAATTGTCAGTGAGTCTGAGTGTCATTGAACACGGATTTTTTATCTTGACATGTTTTTGTTTAAAATAAAGCGTTGTTTTTTTATTTTCAATTACCTTTATTAATTCGTATGTGACATGCTATTGTAGCTGATGGAAAATTTTGTTTATTTTTCAAACACCTACTATTGGTAGGAATGGATGTAGTTATGTATTAGTTATTAGTTTATTTAAGTTTATTAGTATGTATGAGTATTACACATGTATGTCGCATACAACTGTGTATAATTTCATTTAAGTTGGCTTACGATGCTTACGACTAGGTAACACACTGTTTATGTTTATTCCAAAATTATCAAAGTAGCTGAACACACTGAAAAGGTTGGCGACCACAGGTCTATACCAACGAATTCAGACTAGCTAGAAGGAGCTAGCCAACGACTTATTGGTCTCCTAATTGTTGGTGCCTGTAGTGGGGATCAAAGCGCACTTGATATAAGTCAGTTTTTTACAGTTCTGCCATTAAATTTGAGTTTTTTTGTGTCATTTTTCAGAAGTGCGAGTGTTTGCAGCTGATTGTGGTGTTTGTCTAGACATGTTACTTCATATATAACTTGCAAAGAGCAGCACAAGCCTAATGAAGGTAGATGTTTCCACCGGAAAGTATCATCATTGTGTTGATAGGTATTGGTAGACAAATAAGCCGAAAGTAAGCGCTAAAACTACGCAACTTTAGCGACAAACAATGCAACGTAAACATATTGGCCATTGGTACGGACCAAATGATTTGAATAAGTTAGAAGGAGCCAAGCAAGGGTGGATCCAGCATTTATGATGCAGTTAGTCGGTGACGATTGAAATTGAAGACCGGGGAGGGTTCAACCGCATCAGTGCTTTTGAAAGCGAATGCCTTGTAACAATCAAAGAGCGGCTGGTAGATCTCAATAAGAGATTCGCCCAGGGGGTCTGAACCCTGTCTCCTCCCGGATCCGACCATGAAGTTAAGTTTACATGACAGTGCTTATCACCAAAATTACGTAGTGTTTGGGCATCATTTTTGTTAGATTTACCCACTAGTGACAAACCAATACATTGGAGTACCTTCAACTCTTGGGAAAGGATATTCAAGTGGCCAGTCGTAATGGTTGTACTTACAACAGGACACCAATACTATCTGTACTGCGCTTAAATCTGGCTAATAAACAGGGGATAACTTCAATAGGGCTAAGAAAAATTTTGGAAGGTATCTAATACAAAAACTCGTCTTCATCAAACATCAGCAATGTTACAATAGTTGACATTGGAAATAGTGGGACATTTTGCTTGTACTCTTCTCGGTTTTTCTGAATACTTGTTGAGATCCAAGCTGATTTCTGGCTAAGAGCAAGTACTTAGTTTAGCATAATATGGAAATCACTACTGGTATATCATTGTCTTTATATTTATCCAATAAAAGCGTTTGGTAGTGATTTAATTAACTTGTTATTCATATACCTTTCGGGGCCTGCTGCACCTTCTCATTAGAATCTCGTATCATTAAAATGAGAAAACGTAAAATTAATCTTTATAACGTGAAGATGACATTTCCTAAGAACGTTTGGATTTGAAGTAAAAGTAGATGAATCTCAAAAATGAAGTTTCGGTTGGTGCTTTTCAGTATCCACCAATATTTTTGATTTGTCTCCAATATTGCGCATTTTTCAATGTTGTGTTGGGTATAGAATTTTACTAGTAGACCTTAGTTTGGGACGCGCTCATAAAACCTAAAAAAAGAATGAAACAAATCAAAATTACCCCACAACTGTCCAAGTAAAGGTCCAATGTTGAGGTACATGCATTTTCGCGATTATTGTGATGTAATAATGCTTACAAATAACAATATCTGCTTCTATCCAGCTTAAACTGCGTTTTGCAGTCAACAGATACTTTTACTACTTTCGGCAATTGTCTGGAACACTTGGACTGTATGGAGCCCACGCAGTTCTACGTTTTCTCGGAAAATTATAATATAACGCGAAATATCGACAACTGTTAAATCTGGGAGTTCTGTCAACTAAAAATTAATTTACATAATAGCGTTTCAGCACAATCATACCCATTTTCAGACTTATTTAGAAATTATATGAAAATATCATACACAAAGCTACTACAATATATTAGCGAGTCTGCCTTCTGAATGGAGACTGCTAATGCAGTAGCAATTATGTGGATTCTACTGCCCCACAATTTCTAAATAAACTAGTAATTGTGAAATAAAAAAGATTGCTTTTGAAACTAATATCATAAGCATATAATCAGTAATATTTAGAACTTAGATCATGCACTATCCATAACAGTTTGTGCATCTACTAGTGGTTTTGAAACTTGGAAACTTAATCTGACCCAAGGCTATATTTACACCGAATGTATGTACACAATAAACAATTCAGCAGCTTTGATAAACAGATTATGGGAACAAACAAGGCTCTGAACGGATTGCTTCCATTATTAATGGATAAAGTGCAAACTCTCGTATGATGTTAGATTAAACTGATTAGAACATACATACCTATGACATTTTGAAAGCTGAATGTTGGTACACTTATAATTTACAGAGTACATCTAAACGGACATAGACATTCTATCAATATTTACAACGAGAGAATTCAGCAGTTTTTCCAAATTTCTAGCAGAGCTTCTCGTTAGAGTATTGGGTCGGTTTTTATTATCGCCCCTCAGATCATTCTCAATGCACAATGCAGATGATGAAAAACGCCTGGATTGGTGTCAGCGACGTTATGAATTCCGGTCAACAAAGAAAATTCGAGAATGAGGTGAGCTCTTTGATTGGAAGTTTGCATTTGGTGTTGTCACAGTATGGCTTCTTCTATAAACGAATTTTTCTTCAAAGATAACGTCTAAATTAAAATCATCATGAATTCTTACCTAAGAAGTATCTAACTACCGTTCATTTTGTCTGGACGGATTTCAGATCACCCGTCAGCTTCTGGCAAAAAGATGGGCTATTTGCTTAGTGCTAGGAAGGACTTTTCTCCACATGATATCCTAAATCTGTACAATACCCAGATAAGACCTAGTCTCGAGTATTGCTCATATACAGGGTATTCCTTAATGATATGCGAAGAGAGTGAACCTACATGAAGAATTAATGTTAGTTTGCTTTATAAACTATGGTTCAAAAATTTTTACTTACAAAAACTCGGGGTGTTGGTTTTAGGAAAAAAATGGAAATTAATTAATATTTTGAGAACCGCTACAGATATTTCACTGATATTTAGTACGTAGTGAAAGTTAATAAAGTTGCATATTTTTCAATGCAAAAATCATTTTTAGCTTTAACAGTGGCGTGCGTACGGGTATTGACTGCGATATTTTTGAGGAAAAAAATAATACGCCAATGGTTTTTTGCCAAACAAAAATTATTTCTTAATTCCCTGTTCAATTTAAAACAAATGATCTGACTTGAATTGTTTTCTTTCGATGCGTCACGCTTGAGTAAAAAAATAAAAACCGTTGTACTGTCACTGGCTTTTGACATCTGACAAGTCTCTGTTATTCAAATCTGTTCGCTGTGACATCTTTTTCATTATTTAGTTTTTACAATCTTGTTAATAATAGTGAATTATTCAAATGCAGAAATGGCGGAAATGCATTACGTATATGGCCATGCCGACAGTAATGGTGAGCACGCCAGACGGATTTATCACCAGACATATCACGATCGTGCTTTGCCAGATAGTCGAACATTTTCTAATATTCATCGTCGTCCTGTTGAAACTGGTTCTGTCAGAAAAGGGACATCTGAAGGTAGACCTCTAAGTGTGAGAAGACCTGAAATTGAGGAAGTAGTGCAGCACGAAATCAAAGATCATCCTGAAACGAGTACGAGGAAGATCGCTAGACACTTAAATATTTGCCCTCAAATTGTTTTTTGAATTTCAGTGAATTTTTTGTTATATCCTTACCATTTTTTAAGAGTACAGGCATTACGTCCCATTGATTTTCCAAGGTGTGTGACCTTTCGTCAGTGGTATCTTCAAAAAATTACACAAAATCCGCAATATGAATCAATGATTTGGTTCACGGACGAAGCTAAATTTTTCTCGAAATGCCATTCAGAATTTCCACAATAGTTATTTGTGGGCAGAATAAGATCCCTATGCCGTAACCAAAACCTATTTCCAACACCAATTTTCGGTTAACTTATGGGCAGGAATTATTGGCAACCACTTTATTGGTCCATTCTTCTTGCCGGGACGGCTTGTCGGACAGACTTACCAATATTTTCTTCAACAACAGTTGCTTTTGCTGCTTGATGCTGTAGCAGTAGTAGTAAGAAGCAATATGTGGTACATGCATGGTGGTGCACCAGCGCGTTTCAGTGTAGCGGTTCGTGATTATTTACAAAGTGTTTATCCAAATCCTTGGATTGGCCGCGGTGGACCCCTAAGAATGGCCACCAAGGTCCCTAGACCTCAACAGTTTCGATTTATTTTTGTGGGGCTATCTTAAGACACTAGTGTACACAAGTCCCATTAACACTGTAGAGAAATTAAGAGAAAGAATAGTTGCAGCTTGTGATAGAATAAAAAACACTCCAGGGATATTTCAACGAGTGCGTACTTCCATGAGAAGGAGGGCGGAAGCATGCATACTAAGTGGAGGGGGCCATTTTTAACAGTTTTTGTAATCATTTTTCGGTTTTAATGTCATGCTTATGTTGTCAGTTGTTGTTGTTCATTACCTCTAATGTATTTAATTTTTCAAATTAGATTAATAATAATTTTGCAAGTTAGACAACAGAACGGTTTTATTTTTTTACTCAATCGCGCATCGAAACAAAACAATTCAAGACGGATCATTTGTT